TAAACGTAGGACCAGCTACTTAATTTAGTGATCATTTTGCTCATTATTGTCGATGCCATCGAGCAGGATGGACCTGCCTTCCCCCCCCACCCAAAAAAAAAGCAGAACCTTAAACCACCAGCACTTGGCCCAACTATCGGTCGCGGAAAGAATAGAGTAGAAACGCTTCAAGTCGGATGAACTTGGGGGCCCCTGTAGTCGCCTGTAGGTTTCCTAAAATTGTGGCTTGTTAAAAGGCATGACTTCAGGAAGTACTGGTGGTTTAAGGTTCTGGCTCCATGCCCTGAATTTTTTTTATTTTTTTTTCTTTTTCACGCCTGGGTAGAGCTAGGGGTGCTGATAAGAGCAGACAACGCTTGCATTCCCCGGGCGGCTCCATCTATTGGTGGGGAGCAGCACCTGCTGGAAACCAGATCCAGCATCCCTTACATGATTATCTGTTATAGAAGAACATATCGAGATGAAACCCCGTTGCTGGAAACCGGGTCCAGCGTCCAATCCTGTTTTGTCCTTTGGCACTAAAACCGTGGCCCCAGTCCGGGGCCCAGTCCGGGCCACACTGGGGGGCACCAGTGGTCCCTTTCTGTTCCCCAGCCAATCCACTCCCACTGCTGCACAGCTCTTCCTAATCCGGCAGATGCCACAACCAACATTCATTTGACAACAGTAGTCCATCCTCTCTTGCCCCTCCAGCATCCCATTATACACTCAACTGCCAGCATTCATTGCCCTGTACCCAGGGGACTGACTGCGCAGGTTTGGTGGTAAGTCTGTTGGCAAAGCAAGAGTTGTCTCTTCAGTCTGCTCCTGACCGCCAGATCACTCTTTCTACCCTAACAGCTACTTCCTGTTCCTCTGAATACCAGTCTGCTCTATAGCTGTCCTGAATTGCCCATTCAATCCGCTCCATACCATTGCAATGACTTGCTTATTTTGACTGCCAAGATCTGACTGCGAGGCTGTACAGTAACAGCGGTAGGGTTAGATTCGTAATTTTGTTTGTGTTAGGGACTAACCGAGAGTTCAGTGTTGAGGGAAATTTGTGAGGGACATATCTGCAGTTTCGGGAAAATTACAGGCCCGCAGTTCCCTTGGACCGCACTGCGAATTGCAGGCCCGGGCTATCACTAGGACGGGAGGCCGTAGGGCCTAGGCCCGCAGCATGAGAGCCTATAGCCGGGTAGGTAGAGGCCCTAGAGGCCCAAACTGAAAAGGTACCGGTCGGTCCAGTCCGTGTCTAGGTCTAGGTTAGTCTATTAATAGATTTAGGTCGCGAGGGTTGGGACTTTTGGCTGTTTTCATTTTTCGCGTGACAGCGTTCTGAGCCAAGCAAGTACAGCGGAGACGATTGCCTACAGGCGGCATCCTGAAACCTTCGTCGTGGATGGCAGCCATAGCCAGCCTTCTGGAGCTCGCCATCGCTGGGGCGTCCTCTGAGCATCCACCCCTGGGGGTGCTTGCGAGCGGCTGGGCGATTCTGAGGCTCTACATGGTATTTTTGGGTGGACCACTGTTGCTGCATCTTCCTCTGGGATCATGCGTGGCATCTACAGTGGCACTGCAGACATAGCTGCAGCCTTCTTGGTCAGAGTTGCTCATCGGCACTAAGGGTTACATCGCAGTTCCTGTTCTTCATCTGGGTGGTAAGCGCAGCCCTCTGGGAGGCAGTTGTTGTGTGGCGTTACTAACTGGGTGTAGTCTAGGGAGTGGAGTGTGTGATTCTGTGAGTGGCGAGACACTGAGACAAACTCTGTAACGATATTGGTTCAGATCGGCTCAACATCAGATTATTCCTTTGTTATCCTCGCAGGTGTCTACTTGTGATTCGTTGTTGGGATTACCGCCAGAGAGCGGGAAACACTTCGTGTTATTTCCACACCTGTGCATAGTGCTTTTCCGCTGCTTACTTTGTCTGTGTGCAGTGTGTACTATGTCTCCTCTCCCCTTCTTCTTATGCATATATGGGCGTGCCTGAGATTGTTTGCGTGTGAGTGTTGGTCAAAATCGACAGACAACCAAGTTCATAACAGTTGGTATCGGAGCAGGATAGGAATTGACGTTTTGTGATTGGGGCATCTTCTTCTTGGAGAGAGATCCATGACGGTTCTTCTTCTCCAGTACCGAAGCAGGCGAGAAAAAGAGATACAGGCGGTGACTTCAAGAGATCAGTGATTGGATTGATCAGGCGCAGTATCCTGCCCGAGCGCCTGACTTGGTGTGGTGAGTACAAGGCTATCTCGCCAGTATTGGTACTAGAGTCGGAATCGCGATTTGGCTCTGAGTGGCGAAATACCCCTGAGGACCCTGAGGAATTGAGTGACGAGATCATCATAGGGTAGCGTTGACTAGAATCGACTGACAGAGTCAACCCTGCACTTTGTTGACCCTATTTGGGCAATTTCCAGTGTCAGCGAACCAGGGAGAAAGTGACGAAGTATCTTCTCCTGACTGTCAGAGTGCCACCGGACTAGATTCAGTGGATCTAGTACAAGGGATTGATGCACCTCACTGTCTTCTGCAAGTTCAACAAGTTTGGTGAGTTTCTGTGCGTGGAGATTGGAGGAGCCGTCTCTGGAAGAAAGTGGTGAGAAGGGAGTGGAGTGTGTGATTCTGTGAGTGGCGAGACACTGAGACGAACTTTGTAACGATATTGGTTCAGATCGGCTCAATCTCAAATTGTTCCTTTGTTATCCTCGCAGGTGTCTACTTGTGATTGGTTGTTGGGAGTACCGTCAGAGAGTGGGAAACACTTCGTATTATCTCCACACCTGTGCACACTGCATAGTGTTTTTCCTCTGCTTACTCTGTCTGTGCGCAGTGTGTACTCTATCTCCTCTCCCCTTCTTCTTATGCATATATGGGCGTACGTGAGATTGTCTGCGTGTGAGTGTTCGTGAAAAAAGACAGACAACCAAGTCCATAACACCATTGCATGTCCATCATTGCCAGCTGGTGAGGCGGGAAGGGGTCGGGAAAATCTGTTGCAGGTCGCAGCAGGATTTCCTGGCCCACCGTACTCCAATCCTTGAAGCAGATCAGGTAGTCTCTCCTGAATTCCTCCTGGTTGCACACCTGGGCGGGCTTTCCATCCCATCTAACACCTGCAATCCAGCCCCCCTTCTCACTGCCCAACCAGTCCCCAGAGAATTGATGAATTGCTCGTGTTATATCCTGTGTTAAGTGAAACAAGTCAAGTCTGTCTTTAACTTTCTACTACTGTACTGTGAGTTCTTGCTGAATACATTGCTTTATCATCTCTGTTACCTCTTCCCCATCTATGGAGACACCCTCGATGGTATGTGTACAACGTTTTCTCCAGAGGGCCCACATCACTGCCCTTCTCCCTAACTTGAACATGTTGTTTTCAAAAGTATTGTCGGTGCCCTGTTTTACTTACGGGAAAAGAAAAGAGAAAAAAGGTTATGGGTCCATATCCATCCGGGGCACTCTTGGGAGCATCAGCTCGGTCCCTTTTCCACCGGAAACAGCGGAAAGACAAATAATAACATTACTTCTCAGCAGTTTGGTTGGGAGACAAAATGGCTGGCGGCACCATCCAAAAAAGACAAAGTGTGCTGCTACCGGTTTGGAAAAGCTTGGCATGCAGTACAGCTCCTCCAGGCCCAGGTGCACCTCTGGTGGCATAAGAGCCCCATTTATACACCCATTTCCTCCTCCCAACGGACAAAATACAGCTCAGACTTGGGCTGCTTTCAGCGGGTGCAGAAAAAAAACACCGGAAAAAAGAAAAAGAAAATCCTCCCGGAGTTTTACATGCCCGTAGCTTTACTTTGATGTTCAGTTCGCTAAGTCAACGTCATTGTGGTTTCCCGATAGGAAAAAAAGCTGCAGATCGAAGAGAGCTTCTCCTCCCGGTGTTTCACCTTTCATTTCGCCCTTTCTTTTTTTCTCTCACTCCCAACAGTGCCAAGACATCCACCCAATGCATTATTTTGGATACAGCAGGGCTCTTCGTGCCCTACTTACCCTGGGAAGGCGGAAGGACAGCTAGGTGATCTGCACGGGTGCCCACCTGGCACCCCTTGTAGGAGAAATGGTTAACTGAGGGGTTCGCCGTTTTCAGTTCCGGTGGCAAATTCGCCGAAAATAACACCCCCCGTTAACCACCTCTGCCTGGTAGCCGAGATTATGGAACCACAAAGAAGGGACCAAAAAGTGGTACTAAAGAGAAAAGAATGGGAACAAAAAATTGACTGAAAAGTGGGACGAAAAAAAAACATGGAACCAAAAAAAAAGGGTAAAAAAATTGTGACAAAAAATAGGACACTGGATGGGGGGAGGGAGAGAAAAGACAAAGAATGGGACAAAGAAATAGGACAAAAACGGGGGGAAACAAATTCAAACAATGGGAGAAAGAGACGGAAGCAACGATTGGAAGAAAGGCCAGAAAGAAAACGAAAGCGAAGCATACAAGCATCCATCTGCGAAACAGCACTGGGACTTTCACCAGGGGCCATGATGAAGAACAGTCTGCAAAAATTTCGATTTTAAACGAAGCCAGAACAGCAAACACTGAATTCCCTGAAGACGCTTGTCACAATCTGTCAGTGGAAAAAGAGAGAGGCTCTCCACCGACTAAGTTATGCCACTATACATTCCATCATCTCTCCTGCATGCTGCAATTTCCATTTCCACAATCAGAGGAAGAGTTTGCAAAATGTGTTCCCACAGCCATTAGCTGGAAAACCATATTTGAGAAGAACGACAGGTGAGCTGACAAACCAATCGGATGCAGTATCATACAATTCTTCATCACGATTGCTGTAACAATTCTCTCTCTCTCTCTCTCTCTCTCTCTCTCTCTCTCTCTCTCTCTCTCTCTCTCTCTCACACACACACACACACACACACACACACACACA